CGGGATGCCCAAGGGCCGTCGCGCGACGACGCTAGGCGTCGCGAGTTCGGCGGACGCCGTTCGCAGCGCGCGGCGGCCGCATTGCATCCGAGCAAACGATTTGGCTGTATACGGGCGCCATGGTGAAGGCAACCGCCTGCTTCACGCAATTCGCAGAACTCGTCATGTGCCCCCGCATGAACACACACACACACTTTTTAATATATATATATATATATATATATATATATATATATACATACAGTAGAAGCGTCGTTGCGACAAGGACCATCATCACTATGGACGCAGGCCGTCCGACACCAACCCACCGCCAGCATCACCACCGACAGGGCGAACACCGACAGGGCGAGCACATCAATTCGGTAGATCCGGGGGGGTGCCCTCCCCGCATATGTGCGTGTATATATATATATATATATGCGCATACATACATACATACATACACGAATGTACATGTATGTGTACACTGTATGCACATACATTTACAAACATGTACGCGCACGTACGAACATGAGTGTTCCCGAAATTCCGTACACACGTATACATGTGTAAATCGATGTGTGTCTATAGGAATACACGTGTGTGTATACGTGTATCTACAGGTGTATGTGTATACGTGATTATGTGTGGGGATGCTTGTACGCATGTCATTACTCATGTATGTAAAGTCGTTACACTTGTGTCTATCCACGCATTTCCAAGCGCCTCGACCACTCATGGCCCTTTTGTGAAACATGGCTTCTACATTCCAAGGCGCCCTTGCAGCGGTACTTATGGTTTGGGCTCCCAAGTTGGCGGGGTTTGCTGCAGGACGGTTACGGTGCCCGCACGAGTGTCCAAGCGAAGGGGCCGATCGGGGCGAGGCCAGAGCACCCACACGCATGACATAGAACACATGGAAAAAGGAAACGAGCTAGTTTTAGGACTGGCCAGGTAACACCTTTTACTTCGAAACATGCCGAAGAGCCTCCCGACTTGTGCCGAAGGCGTTCCAGGCTCCAAGAGAGTTCCCCTTGACGCTTCGCTTATCCAGGCTCGCCCATCCAGAGACGGTGCAGGTGCGAGCCGCCATCTTCTGGGAAATGTAAGAGCACGCCACGGGAGACATCCGCCGAATCAAAGTTCGGGGGCAAGCCGAGCGGACCGACAACAAGCTTTACGTGCCTTTGCATTTTCTATGCGAAGGGTGAGCAGGAGGGTGGGGTGGATGGTATGGATGCGGAATCAGGACGAAGTCTGGCTATAAGGACGATGCCAGGGTGGAGGTTGAGGAGGGGTTAAGCACAAGGACGAAGAGCTTGACGGAGAACGTTCTCTTTGAAGTTCAGGTGGTGAACCTACGTGGGGACAGGAGGATTAATGATGAGGATGAGGGAGGAAGAAGGAGTCTATTACGACGATGGCGGCAGAAGTGATCCATAATGGCCTTTTGGAAGCGTTTTTGAACCATACTGGAGTTCACTAAGGGATAGAGAGGGCAAGAGGGCAAGAGAGCGAGAAAGAGAGAGAGAGAGAGAAACAACAAATCGACAAAGAGAGAGAGAGAGAGAGAGAGTGAGAGAGACTGGCAGGGGGAGAGAGAGAGGGATATATAAGCACCAGCCTGCAATAGATCCTTCTCCCTATCTTGGCATCACCTGGTCTCGATGCCAATCTTAAGGGTTCCCTCAGTTTCTGAGGGCGGATCCTCAATCTGGTCGTCGCAGTTTGTCTTGTCCTCTAAGGATTAATCTTGAGGTTTGTCAGATACGACAAGATGCGACATAAACAAGATGCAAGACGGTAGTCCAGGACTCCAGCAAACACGATCGCAGTGTACCCCCCAGCCCCACCCCCGCACCCCCCCACGTGGGCTGGCGGACATGCTGCTATTGCGCGCATGTGCATGTGTATGCGTACGCGTGTGCGTGCCCACACAATTTTGGCCGTACATCCCAGCCCTCCCAGATAGGGTTCGAGAAGATGGGGTTGGGGGATTGCTCCGCATCGGTGATGCATCGACGATGCGTCTCGACTTGCAGCCGGAGTTTCTCCACGCGGATGGCGCCGATACATCGCCGACGTCACCGATGCATTGGCGATGCGTTGGAGGTGCGACGCGATCTTCTGACCCACTCAACTCGGACACCATCTGGGACACCTCTGATTGTGCACCCATGCGCACGCGCACACGACTTCCACGACGAACTCTTACATAATACATCACTGGGGCGGGGATGCGTTGTCGCTTGCCTCATGCGTGGTTACGCAGCGCTGCTGTTTCTCAGTTAGGTTCCGCCTACGTGGTCCTTCCTCGGTGCGGCAGGGTCAGTGGCCGAAGTCATTCTTGGCAGGGGTCCGTAGCAACTTCGGCTCAAGTGACCCTCCTCCTCTACTCCTACACGGACTGGACTCGACCACCGCCTGCCGACGCGAGGCAGGACAATTGCGACACCATGGATTGCCTTCTTAGTGGTGTTATCAGCGCCTTTGACGCACGCCATCACCGTTCACCCTGTCGTCCTGTTGAACGCCTCGCGCACGGCCGCCCGGAACTATGCGACGACTCCACCTGCATACGTGTCATTACATGCTGCGAGTGGGATGCCAGCCGCGTCTCTCACATATCCCAGTTCGGCAGAGGGCAGTGGGCAGTTCTCGGTGGACCTGTGCGCCGTTACTTGCTTGACGTTGGGGAGTACATTCTTTCAAACCGCGTTGATGGCGGCAGTGCAAGTGGTGACTGTGCGTGTTGTACTGGTAGTGTCTCATATCATTCTATCACACATTGGGACATTTACGTGCAACAGGCGACGCCCAGCCCGACGCAAAGCCCGACGCCCAGACCAACATCCAGCCCGACATCCAGCCCGACATTCATCCCGACGCCGAGCCCGACGCCCAATCTGATGGCCAGCCCCACTGTCGCTGGCGTCGGTGACCCGCACCTCGTCAACATCTATGGTCAGAAGTTCGACTTGTTTCAGGCTGGGTGCCAGACTCTGATCAACATCCCCAGGTGGGCGCGGCAGCGGGCCAACTTCCTCGTGCAGGAGGGCGAGTCGTGCTGGGTCTAGGTGCGCTGATTTGCATTTTACGGAGATCAACAACAGCGGCACGAAGGCTCAGGGCCTCAAGGCGGCGGACCTGCGTTGGGTCGCCAAGGCCGTGAGGCCGGGCAAGACACAGTGGATGAAGTTTCAAGACAAGATTCGTGCCAAGATTGTGCACGGTCACTCCGTCCAGAACGTGCAGTTTTTTTAACATTTGCGTGAATGGGTTAGACAAGACAAAGGCTCCGGTGGGCGGTCTCCCCGTGGAAGACGACCACAGGGCGTCCAGCACTCTGGAAAAGGGGTGCAAGAAGTTGATGATTTTGTGAGTCGGGCGGTCCGGCAGGGTAGGTGAATATGGTCCTCGCGGAGACCGGGCGTACCTCCCGCTGATGAAGATAGCGTGCGGCCGCCCGGGATTGCCTTCCGCTTGTCAGTTTGCCGCGTGGCTCAGGAGTCGGTCGTTCGTGCCTTCCCTCCCTCCTACATGCCAGACTCTCCTTACAGCGGGTCACTCGGTATGGCTCTCGCGCACGGGCGTGTCAGGTTGTTGGGCCGACTTGCAGGTGACCTCCGCGAGACTCCAACAGGCATTCAACATGCTATATCCTCTGTGTATGAATGTATGTATGGATGGATGGATGGATGGACATTCATACCGGTTTCATTCGTATGGGGTAACCTAGGTCCATGATCGATTTTTGGCACTCGCTTGGCGCACCCATGGAGCGTAATTGACGTCTCCTGTTTACATGTGTTTGCATGCTCAGCGCGTTTTTGGCGCGGCTCGTGGTCGGCGGGCATTCGGCGCGATGACTGCTTCGCCGTCTGGTAACTGACTTGCTCCCTAGATGTCAGAAAGTGCGGCAAACAAATGTTTATTGGCAGAGGACCGTCCAGGTGGCCCGCCCCCTGGCCCTTGGTTCTTTGATGGTGCTCTCCTGTGGAACCAGGTGCCCTGTAGCTTCCTTTTGGCGTGCCTAGTTGTTTGCGTACTTCTTGCCCGTAGCCTGCGTTTGAGCTGACATGTTGCTTGCTTGGTCGCATTTGACTTGCAATTCACTTGCGCCCGCCTGCTCAAACACGATCTTGACGAGTTATTTGAGAGAGCCCCCCTCTCATGCGTACTTAAGGTTGATTGCTCGGGTGGTATGTCCCTTGTCTTGTCGAACTCAGCTGGCAGTTAGCATCCCTTTAATTGTGGCTAGGTGTTTGTCGTCGGTGTTCATGAAGTAGGCCATTGTAGGCGGTGTTCAGTTATAATATATGTCTCATTTGGCCTGAGTATATAAACATATTGGTTGGCTGCCCTTTTCATGTGTGTGTTAGTTGGCTACCAGATTAGTTTACATACACTCTTGTGTGTGAGTTGCCTACCGCGCTAATGGTAGAGACGTGTGTAATGTCGCGTGTGTTTAGCCAAAAGGTGTAGCGTACGTAGCTGGTCTCCGTTATATCTATATATATATATGTATATATATATATACACTTGGTGAACCCTATGATTGCAAGTATATGTCACGTGGCTCGTTTGTCGCATGCCTAATTCAACGTAAGCTCAGCGTGTGTGGTCCTCGCCTCCAGCTAGTTTGTTACATTGTCGTTAGCTCGTCGTCCGACCGTGCGATTCCATGATGAGTGGGGACATCGGTTCCATCCGTTTAGACGGCATCAGGCCTCTCGTCTCATGTCGGGGTTGATTTAGCTCCCCCAGGTCATCCTCCTCAGCCTGAACGGTGTCCTTCTCATCTTCATCCATCGTCCTTCTTACCCTTCTCCTCCTCGTCCTCGTCATTCTCGCAGTCCTCCCACCTCCTGAAAGTACTGCTGGGCGGGTCGCGGATTACCCGCTCACTTACCCCCTTTCACAACATTTGTAATGTCGTTACTTGTCAGGCTTGGCCTAATGTGCGGGAGTGGGTGTTCGGAGTGGGCAGCGATCAAGGCCAATGTTTGACGCCATTCCAGGTGGTGGTCAAGTATTTCGCAGCTGGTGTGCCAGATGTACCAAGCCAGGCACCTTGCTCGTTTGCTCGAGCGCCCTAGCAGTCTCGAAATTATGGAAGGCATCAGGAGGATGATGTCAAGGAGGCTGGGGGGGGGGGTCGTGGTGATGGCGACGAGGTCGAGGACCATGAGGACGTGTGGGAGGTTGTTGAGGAGTAGGATGGGGACATGCAGCGAGAGGGGAAGAGGCGGGTGATACAGGAAATGGTGAGAGCACGGGGAGAAGGCGGGAAGGGGAGGAAGGAGGAGTGAGGTCAGAAGCTGGATAGCAGCAGTAGAAGGTAGGAAGCAAAGGGGGATGAGGTGGATAATGTGGAGGTGGAGAAGGCGAAGGAGGATGAGGAGGATACCAGTCGTTGGTGACGAGGAGGAAGGGTGGATGACGAGGCGACTGAGGCGCAGTGGTGTGGTGTTGGGGTGGGCAACGTGGAGGAGCAGCAATATAATGAGGAGGATACCAGAGAGTAGGAGCATCAGTAGGGGCATAATTATCCAGAGGAGGAATCACGGCAGCAAGCTTGGCAGCATGAACAAGAGACAAGGGTCATCATGATGAGGTGGTTTGCGCATGACGAACGTGATGACGACAATGAGGATCAGGGTGACGAGTCACTGGCAGCGATGGGGAGCTGACGGGGAACGAGGCGGATGACAACGATGCGATATCGATGTGGGTGAGGCTCAGGAAGGCTTAGGATGAGGAGCATGAGGAAGGATGGGGATGAGAACGCGACATATGATCGTAAACGTTTTTACTATTGTGAATGGGGAGTGGGAGGCTTGGGAGGAACAGGACGAGTACGAGGAGGGGGAGGGCGATGGATGAGGCCCAGGATACTGACGCGCATGACTAGCACAGGGGAGGAGGATGAAGGCGACGCGGAGGCGGCGTGTAAGCGGGGAAACAGAAACAGCGCGAGCAGTAGGAGACGGAGTGTGGGAGAAGTTGGGCAGGCTCGGCGAGGATAATGCTCGAGGAAATCGTGCAGTGTTCTTGGCGGAATGTCTTCTAGCGTTGAACAGTCCAATCATGCAGGGAGCGGCATGCGGCTTGTGAGGTATCCCTAGCGATCGTGTGTTTTAGTAGTCTTTTCCACTGTGTCCATCAGCACCTCTCTCCTCTATCTTCCTCCTCCGGATATGGACTTCATGGTGTTGACACATATGAATTGGGGCATGAAGTATTAAGATTGGAGTTCAATGGTTCTTGGTAACAGGGATTACGCGATTGAATCCCACGTATACGATAAGCGTACTTCTCAGCACCAGTCCTAATCCGTATCACCCCTCACTCCCGCTAGTGTTAGGCAGCGGTGGTGCTTTTGAAGACGGATCATACCCCAGATCTGCCAGATCTGACTGGCAGACCGGCGCTTGGTGAGCAGCACGACAGCAAGATTGGACCCTGGGTGCCGCTCCGCGAACCGTGCGGGGCGCCTGCCCTGCAACGCTTCGGCCGACCTGCCCACCCGCAGCGGTGGTCCTTGCAGTGGCCCAGGCAGCCGCAGGAGGTCTTCAATGATCCCCCCCCCCCTACGCTCTCGGCTGGCAGGTGGTAGTTTTTGAGTCATTGTTTTGCCGATCGGCGCGGGCCCTCGCACCCCCCCCTCCCCCCTATGAAGTAAATCTTGGCTGTTTTTGACATCTGTTTGGAGTGGGTGGAGTCTCATCCATAGGACGCACGGTTGCAAACAGCCACACCAAGCAGAGGTCCAGAGCCAGACCCCCCCCCCTCTCCCCTCCCTTCTCCGACCAGTGTCGAAACGCTCACCAGTGAAACTCGTCCCACCCCTCCTCGCTCTTCGCCTCATCATCGCCGCCATCAGGGGTCCGCATCACCCCTAGGGATTTTTACACTATTGCTGGCGTCCCAATCCGTCAAAAAGCCCGCGCCAAAGGTGAGGTATTCAGGACTTCCTGCGGTCAGATTCCCGTGCGCGTCACTGCAGCCAGAAGTGGCTCCTTGCTCACGAGCACAGGCTTGATTCCGCCCGGGAAGCCCAGTCGCATTAGTTCAAAGTCGGGCATGTCCCTCTACAGGGCAATTTTAAAAAATGATCAAAACATCGTTTTGGACGATTTTTAAATATTTTGGTTTGAATATGTTTGAGCATTGTTCATTTTTTTCGCCCGAAATCTGCCTGTAGGGTGACATGCCCGACCTAACATTACCTTCTGGAATCGGCAAATGCTCGTGGCCTCCACTGTTACCCCTTCTCCTCGGCGCCTCCGTCAACTGGCGCCGGCGCGCGCCCCGACTGTTCCCTCTCCGGGGCGCCGCTCCGCTCCCCTAGTATGGGAGCTCGGCGTCGACCCGGGCCACAGGTCGACGGAGGCAGGTCGGGGCTCTTGAGACGGGGGTCAACGCAAACGGGGGTCAGCCAGAGCGCCCGATCTTGCAGGATCCTGCAGGGCCAGGGTCGCCATTGACCTGGGCTTGGGTGCAGGATCCTGCAGGATCTTGCAGGATCCTTCGCGTTGACCCGGGTTTGGGTGCAGGATCTTGCAGAATCTTGCAGGATTCTGCAGGGCCTGACTGACCCGGGTCTGGATTGACCCGGGTCAGAAGATCCCCGAGGCAGGGCCGAGCATGGGAGCCGCTGACACAGCCGCCCTTCTGAGCATGCAGAAGCGGTTTTCGGCCGTCTGTGCCCTTGTCTATGGGAACAAAGAATGACAGAAACATGGAAACTCGGAGGTCCGCGCAGATTTCTTGGATCCGCGCGGGGTCCCCCCTCTGGCGGTGCCTCTGGCGCCACCCCCTGGCGCGCTCCGCGCGCCAGGGAGGAGGGTCTGGCGCGGATCCGAGAAACCCGCATGGAGCGCCAAAAGTTTATGTTTACGGCGTTTTTTTATGTTTTCTCTTCTGAGCATGAAGAAGCGGTGTTCGGCCTTGTGGGCCTTTGTTATGCAGGAAATCCTGGAGGCCTCGCGCGGCTAGTCCATACGTCAGCTCGGTAAGCAATGGGTCGACGCTCGCGCGGCGATGCTCCGGCGTCAGTCTGACGTAAATCTGACGTCATTCCGACGTAGTCCGACGTGAACCTGACGTTCCGACGTAAATCCGATTTGGGTCTCATAACCATTGCCCAGGCCCCAGAACGAACCATTGGTCCAGGGCAAAGCCCAGGAGTCCCCAGGACCGCGCTGGTCGGTTCTGTCCTGAGATTGTCCTCGTCATCTTCTCCACCATTTTCTTCGGCCTCGAACGTCGCCGCCTGGACTTCTCTGGTGTGTGGTGCGTTTGAAGGGAAGTGTTGGATCATATGCAGAGCCGTTGCCTGATTATCTACCCATTTTGACTCCAACCATGTCCTCCTCTTCCCTCCTGTCCCTCTTCCTCTTCCTGGGGGGCAGCGCTCTGCTACGGAGGCGGTTTGGGCCGCTTGGAAATTTTGACTGGCAGTTGGAACCCCGCTGGCGCGCAGCATGGGCGGGCAACCCAGCTAACAATCTCAACCCGCACAGCGGCTGACTGAACCTTTCGAGGTTTCAATGTGTCGGGTGGCGAGCAGCATGTAGCGTGCCAGTTTCGTTTTACATCGCGCGCTTGCTGTCACGGCTATTTGTTCTCGTACGATCATGATCTGACATGCCCTTGGGGCGGGATGCTGACAAGACGGGGATTCGTAGGACTGTGGCGGAATGCTGATTAAGTAGCCGTGGGATCCTTGCATCATGTCTTTTTGTTTGTCAAGTCGTTATCGTTCTTTTTGACCGTCGTTCCAGAACGGTAGTTGTTGGCGCGCTTGGTTTTTGCGGCCAGCGAGACGTCGCGCTGCCGGTCACGATTTTTTCGCATCGGGTTCGCATGTTGCCTGCTGCGGCGCTAGTTGTTTCTGAAATCATGAAAGGCTCACTGCCTGCAATTATGTGTGCTTCGGATCTGTGTTGCCTCGGGACGCTTGTCATGTGTGGTTCGTAGCGGGACGCATTCGCTCCTGTTTTTTTATGTTTTGACGTTTATCGAATCCGTCGGTGCTGACTTTGGTAATTGTCGACCAACCTGTCGTCGTGACGCCTGCCGTGTCCGAGCCGTCGCGGGGTACACACAGATACACACACATATACATATATCTATATGTAGGTGTGCATAGTTTATATATATTCACATACACACATAGATATGTACATGTACTAACGCTATATACACAGACTCACGCATTGAGGTCCGTAGTGTCGAAGTCGTTGTAGTATGTCTGATACGTATGTGTGGGCGTCCTCATTGCATTCACGAGTGTTTGTTGTCTTGTTTCGTCAACCTGTCTACATGCTGATTGTTTGAGGCCACCACACTTCGTGGTCAGCGCCGCATTTATACAGTTGGTGTCGTTGCATTTGTTGGTCCTTCATGCGCAGTTGTCGTCGTGACGCCAGTCATGCGCGCGCAACTTCTCGATTTTCTCCTTTTGTAATCTCATGTTGCCGGCTTGTTTCTCGACGTTGTCAATCGCGGCGTATGTGGTTTCTGATCCGGTCGTTGTCAGCAGGGGAAAACACACAGACACAATGAATTGTCGATTCCCCTAGAAAATATGAGAAAATATGGGAAGTGGGGGGAAGACAGAACTTTAAAGATATGTAAAAAATATGGGGAATCCTGTTATTTGTGTGTATTGATTTGTGTGTGCCTGGGCCCCTTTGCGTTGCTGCGGTGCCGCCGACGCGGGACGTCCCCGGGATCCCGGGCCCTTCTCCACGGACCCCCTGGCCCGGGCCGAGGCCCCGGGGCCCAGGGGCCAGGGCCACAATCGTGGCCGGGGCTGGGGACGGGGCCGAAGCGGTCACCATGGCCTCCTCCTCCTCTTCCCTTCTCCTCTTCTTCCTCCTCCTCCTCCCTCCTCCTCCTCCTCGTCCTCCTCCTCCTCCTCCTTGTCCCTTCCTCCTCCTCCTCCTCCTCACCTGTCCACAGGTGAGACCACACCCGATGACCCGCTGGGACTGTTCGTCCATGAAATATTTGCTGCGCAGCTTGTGGGCACCTGTCATTTCAACGGGCTGTGCGGGAA